GTGCTGGATGTGTATTTTCCCAGCCTCACTAGCTGCTGCCTGTCTGTCAGGAAGCTGTTGATCCACTGACAGATGGAGATGGGCACGGAGAGCTGAGATAGTTTGGGCAGAAGGAGGTTTGGGATGATAGTGTTAAAAGCCGAGCTGAAGTCCACGTACAGGATCCTCACATAAGTCCCTGGTCTGTCTAGATGTTGCAGAACATAATGCAGTCCCATGTTAACTGCATACTTCATGGCCCTTCAGATATTTATTTTCCTCTTTAGGCTTAGATTTTCAGCTCAGCTGCTGTGAAGGCTGCTTGTCAGAGCCGTGTGAGGTGTTTTACAAACCTTCCTGCCATGTTTCTCATCTGTGACATACAGAATTGATTCAGTTTAAAAAAATCACTGAGAAAAGAAGCATAAATTTGCATCAAGTCTGGATGTCAGAAAGCACTTGGTTGATGACCAGAGCCAGTATAAATCGTTTCCACAATCTAACCGCGTTAAAGGGCACCTATTATGTTCACGTATAGATGACCAAGCTGTCAAACTGATTCCCGTTCACATGAATCTGCAAAAACGACCAAAAATGCTGACCAGACCAGTAGTTGGCGGTGCCACTTTGTAAAGAAATACTACACACCTGCTCGCATAGCTACTGAACACATTATATGCACAAATTTCACGAATTTTGTATTTTTAGTTAACACAGAGAAGGTATCGTTTTCAAAAGTTTTCAGGCCCCCAAAATGCAGTTGTCATATAAATGAATGGCCAAAACACGTAAAAAGTTTTCCATTTTTAGTTGAAAACTGTGTTGTGTAAACACCCCTTCAGAATTCCTTTTTAATTCGTGAATTTGATTTCACTTCAATTTTGAATTGAGGTAGCAAACAGCAAGTAGAATTAAAATAAATCAAACGTTTGTTTGTTTAAAAGTCATCAAAAATAAAATTATTAATATAAATAAACTATAAATTAAAATTATTTAAATAAATAAGTAGAGATTTAGACAATTTACAACTTTACAGATTAAATCATAAACCTAGTTTTACTGAATAATTCATGCCAGTGCAAAAACAAGTTATATAATAATAATATTTATAGCGTATATTGATATTTAAAAAAATATACTTGAAATATTATTAAAATGTATTAAAAATACAATTTTTATATCAAATGTTAAAATAATATTAATAGATATAGAATACATTAAAATGTATATTTGTTAAAAAAAAAATATGCTGGCCTAGTTGACTTCCAACAAAAGAATGAAACTTGTTTGCATTTAGCAGACACTTTTATCCAAAGTGACTTTCAAAAGAGAAACAAAAGCAAACTATTTTCTAAAATAATCAGCATTTTGCCACAACCGCTTTCCACAGAGCTTGTACTGAATGAACCCTGAGCATCCTTTAAACCACTAAATTAATACGAAATGTTTCTTTTCAAAAGAAAGCCTAAACCGGCTTCTGTCAAATTAATAGTTAATAACAGTGCCCATTACATATGCTGTTACAACAAAACTTGTGGTATTATACCATCTAAACCCATGTAAACACAAGGGCTCACACGAAAGAGTCACTGAATACACAACACCTCGCTTTGTTCTTTCACGTCCTTTGCTGGCGATATTGAAACTATGTCAGTTACGTGAATGACTGCGTGTGTGTCACTGGTTATGAGAACACAGACTGCTTTGAGACCAACTCAATTAGCCCAGACTAACACATACAGTGATGCTATTTGTGCTTGTTATAGCATAAGGATGAGGAGAGGCCTGTGTGTGTGTGTGTGTGTGTGTGAGAGAGAGAGTTCACATGGTATGATCTAGGGTTGGGGGAAAGGTGAAGGGTGGTACAGTCTGGATCAAGACAGAGAGCAGGGAGTGCTGAGGAGAACATCTGCCTACCCATCTGCTCAGCCTGGCTACACACACACTCTCCTGCCTAAAGCCACCATTCCATTACATAATCATAATCTCTCTCTATCGCTCTCTTTCTCTCTCTCTCTTTCTCAGTATGCCGTATTGTTTGACTTATGTCATATCAAAAGATACACTGGTCTTTTGTAAATTGTAACACAATCAGAGCAGGCCAGAAAGTTTAAAAGCAGAAATGTGAAGCTGGAGTTTTTTGTCAAAGCACTTACATGAATTATTCAATAAGAATATTTGTTATTTGAGCTGTTCAGCTGTCTAAATCTTCCTTCCGAGGTGAGACCATGTTTCTAGGTGGATAAACTTCTGCTTATGTTCTACAGTGGTGTGAGTTTATCTGTCACAGCCGTCACACAAACCCACCGACACAATACTGTCAGGCAGATTATTTTGAGGCAAATGTAACATGGTTATATTTAAATATAGGTCATACATACATAAGCTGTGGGATTATCAAAGAAATATTGCATTTATAGAGAGCATCATGTTGGTATAATACATGTTACAACAATACAAATCACTTGTCGCTGAGGTTATATAAGAACAATAACTCATTGTAAGAATGTTAGTCAGAAAAGATGCTGTATATGCCAAAAATGTTTTCAAATTTATAATAATCAGAAATGTATCTTCAGTGATTTCTGAAGGACCATGTGACAAAGAAATATTGCATTTATAGAGAGCATCATGTTGGTATAATACGTCACAACAATACAAATCGCTGAGGTTATATAAGAACAATAACTCATTGTAAGAATTTTAGTCAGAAAAGATGCTGTATATGCCAAAAATGTTTTCAAATTTATAATAATCAGAAATGTATCTTCAGTGATTTCTGAAGGACCATGTGACACTGAAGACTGGAGTAATGACACTAAAAATTCAGCTTTGCATCACAGGAATAAATGACATTTAAAATATATTAAAATAGAAAACAGTTACTTTACATTGTATTAATATTTCACAATATTACTGCTTTTACTGCATTTTAACAAAATAAAAGCAGCTTTAGTCAACATAAGAGACTTCTTTTAAAAACACAAAAAACTTGTGAGCCACTGTATATATGTATATAATAGTTGAAGTAATTTAAAAAATAATTTGGCTTGAATAATTTAGAGCAACTAGATCCTTTAATCTAGTCATTCCAATAAAGGTTTGTAAAGACAGAGGGAAAGAGGCCAGCTGGGACAGGGGAAGAGATGAGAATGTTGGATTTAGGACGAGTGAAGGGATTTGGTGAGGTGAGGGAGAAGAATCTGACAGCCTAATTATCTCAGCAGTGCTGCTGGCACTGCAAAAATCATTTCCTTAATCAGTATTAGTGTCATCTTCCAGTAAACATATTTAAACATCCTTAAAACAAGACACATTTATACTTGAGAAACAAAATTGCATAAAATATTAAAACTTGTTTTCAGAGAATATATTTTGAATTAAGTGTGTTTTTCTTACCCCATTGGCAAACAGTTTTTTTTTCTTGATTCAAGCATAAACCTCACTAAATAATGTTGGAATTATGCTTAAAAGAAAAGTAAGAAAAATACACTTTCTCTGAAGTATTTTAAGCAATTTTGCCTCTAAACAAAATGTGTCATGTTTTGAGGATATTTACATATTTGACTGGGATTTTATTTTTTTCAGAAACTTCACAGAAATGCACAAACAATAAATGCATTTCATAACACACACATACACACAAAGTAAGTGTGTTTTTGTAACTAACCTGTATGTGATATGTTTATGTTGCCATTTCTGCCCTGTGAGGGCGTAACGTCTTTTTCGGACGCTAAATTTCGAGGCACCGCCGAACTGGTCTGGCACCCCACATCGTGGCTTCTTCATCCAGCTGAGAGAGAAAAATAAGTGGATTCATTAATATTTAATTGCTCCACACTTGTGACATTCAGCCCAGACTGTCTGAGCTTCTACCCAACACTAAAATGTTCATAGATTAATTGGCATTCTGGAATAACCCCTCAAAATACACAAGGTTTCCATCATATCAACCGCATTAACTAACTTAACATGGTCCACCATGTTTTCAAAGACAAATATCTAGGCCAAATATCAGCCAATTAATCAAATTATATGATATAATGTATGGTTACTGTATTCATAAAACTGATCCCTCTCGGTCCCCTTCAATTAGAGTTCACACAGAGAAAGAAAAGCCAAGACAAGTATGGTTTTGAAAGCAAGAAACAAATCACAAGAGAAAAGTCAGCCTCACCTTATGGTGATATCACTATGCCGAAGCAAAAAGGAAACAAAAAGATCACATAAGAGTTATGACATCACCAGGAGCCTAGCGGCCAGGTGTTGTACATCAGTGTTTCCCAACCGTTTTTGACATTTGCAGCCCTTATCAGACAGGTTTGAGTGTCTTTCAATAATGCCAAACTAGAAAAATGTCTTAAATAAAGGTTCCAAGAGGTTGTTTTCGCAGTGATGCCACAGAAGAACCATTTTTGGTTCCCCAAAGAACAGTTCTTAAAAAAAAAATCTGTTAAGAACATTTAAAAAAAAAATAATACATTTTCTCCACTATAAAGAACCTTTTCTGGACTGGAAATATTCCATGGATGTTAAAAGTTCTTCATGGAACCATAGATGCCAATAAAGAACCTTTATATTTTTAAGAGTGTGGTTGGAAATCACTGCTATACACCAAATTCAGTATGCATTTTTCATATTGTGTTTTAGATTTTGAGCAGTTTGTAAAGGCATTTCTAACATAAAATCAGTTCATTCCCCATCCATTACCCTTCTGAAATCAGTTTTCAAGCTAGTCCGGGGTGGTTTATGCTGATCTCGCTTGTGGTTTAGCAATTTACATTCATACATTTCACAGATGTTTTAGCCCAAAATGACTTTGCGTTCAAGATATAAATTGTAGTCAGGTTAGACACCATATTGAATTTAATGCAGATGAAAACGAGACTGCGAGAGATAGATTTTACAATGGTACATGCTGTATAGAGGTCCCAGATCACTTCAACTTTCACCACTTTCAAAACTGTGGTTTTGAAAACCCTGATTTAAGGTCTATTAAGTCTATTCCCTAGGAATTGAACCCATGACTTTGGCATTACTAGTGCAGGTGTCGGTAGAGACGGTCCATGATGGGGAACTAAACATGCTGGCAACATGTCTTTGTTGGTTTTCGCAACGGTAAAGTATGGCCACTTATTTTGTTGTACACAGTCAATGATGTTAAAGAGTCTCTGAGAAGAACAACATCATGTTAAACTTCTGACCCAGAATCAGTTGATATTGGATTGAGTGACCGTGTGAGAGTGTAACTGCTATACTCACTCAATGGTGTTCTTATCCAGTTCACCGGTGACGTTAAGGCCGTAGAGACGCTGCATGGCAGCGATAGCAGAATGCATGGTCTGTTCTGACCGCAGGACGGACATTCTGGGGTCTGTGGGAGGGAGGTAGCCATACCTCTGCAGCCAAGCCTGAGAGAGAGAGAGAGACCTTTGTTTAAATGTTACTTCTGTGGGAACATATATTATTTTAAGCATGAGTCGATGCATTAATACATTTTCATTCTTCGCATGCTGAGTGTAGCATATAACCGTAGCTTTACATGCAAGGCTGAACTACCTCCTATGTTTCTAATTAATGTGTAATTATCATAATTCATCACATTAATTAATCTCACATTTGTATAAATAATGTATAACTAATATATATCTTTATTATATAATAAAAATATCTTTGTATTATGTATAAATACATGTATGTTAGTATGTATAATTGATTTGTAATTTGTAATTCATTTGTAAATATAAAAAAAATGAAAATTAGTAATTCTTGTTTACGAATATGCAGTTATATATAAGTGTGTGGAGTTAAAAATGAATAAATAATGTAGAAATATAAATACATGTAAATAAATTTGAATATAATTTTTATAAATATAAATATATTTTTAAAATGAGATTTTATGCATATTTTATTAATTGATTTTTTTATATATATTATATGTATATTTATATATTTAAGATTTTATATATTTAATAAATTCTTAATCCACAACTTACTGAAATATGCAATTTATGATTAGTTAAAAAAGAAAAATACACACACACACACACACACACACACACACACACACAAAACCTTACAAAAAGTGTGTGTGTGTGTGTGTGTGTGTGAATTATCATCTCTCCTCTAGCTATAAGAACATCCCTGTCCTAACGTGCCCTTTTCTAAAGTCAATGTGGCTGTGCTAAAGAGAACACACACAAACTCACACAAAAAGATTTGTAACATTTGAAAGAACAGGTCTTACAGATACAGTGGTTTGGTGTCAAATTTCAGTTTCTTTGATCCTTACTTTGTAAGCTGCTGAATTGTGATTGGCTGCTGATGGTCATTTTAGTTGCTTTGTACAATTAATAATGCTAGGATTTCAAAGTATTAAAGAATTTACATGATACATTTAAACTTCTTTGATCAAATTGTGTTATTCCAGCTAAAGGGAATGTTCTCAGAACTTTTGCTAATGTTCTGGCCAGGTTCTCTAAAAGTTATGAACAAATGTTCTCCCAGTAACGTTAATAGAATGTTCATTCAAAGGTCTTTTATGTTCTCAAAACATTCATGGAACGGTTTTCTTCTCAAACGTTTTAGTTGAAAATTCGTCTAATGTTTTTAAATGTTACTGTTTCAGAATGTTCACGAAATGTTCAAAAGTAAAAGTTACCATAATGTTTACTAAATTATATGTAATGTTCCATTAATGTTCTTATAACCAAGAAAAAATGGTTTTTAAATGTTTAAAAAAATTGACATTTTGAATGTCCAGAACATTCAGAAATAACGTTTTCATAACATAATGGGAATGTTAGTACAATTTACCATTTCAAGACTAAACATACATTTTTTAACATACAACTTTTTTTAAGTTGAAACAACATTGTTTATTTATTTATTTATTTATTTTACAATGTATTTTTGTTTTGCTGGCATATTGCTTTTTTTTAGTAATTCGACACATTACTAACTAGTATAGTATTATTTAGTATACTAACTTTGATAAAACTTAGACTGTGCATTAAGAAAAAATACTTAAATTAGACATTATATGCCACATGCAAAGAAATAACTGGCTTGAAAATCAGAAAATCTACATAAAATACAACTGGGTTTCTGTTCCTTCTTCGCTTGGACATCTATTATATTTGCATACAGAAAATTAAGCTTTTTTGCATTGTGGATCATTTTCAGTCATGAGAATTATATTTATTTTGCACTGCTGTAATGAGGATGATATTTATGCAAAGTATAATTTTCATATGCTAAAGAAAATTTCTGTTTTAGGGTGAAATATGAGCTAGATATTTCTATGGGAGATTCACAATTTTTTTTTTTTTTTTTTTAAGGTGCTGCAGCTGGCAAACTTAATTTGATGACATACTAAACTAAAACACATAACACGATTTACCCAAGTACGACATGTTCCTGGATCAACATTGCTTATTTGTCCTGGAATAACTTTCCTAGCAAACAATCATAGGCCAAACCATGTCCCTAAGGTTAAACCTAATCCTAACCCACCCTTACAATCAATGGGAATGATTGCACTAAACCTAACTATAAGCTTTAAACAAATGTTGTTTGAGGTCGGCAAGAAAATTGATCCAGGAACATGGGCTACTCAGGTAAATCATGTTAAGGAGATTAATTCAGAAGTATGTACCTATACTTTAAAGTGCTGAGGATCGCTTAAGGCACAGACGTCCTTCAAACAACAACACACAGCTGTTTTGGGTTATTTACCAGGAATGTTAAGTGTTAATCAAGCCCAATTAAAGACTAAATTCAGGTTGGTCTGTGAGGTAGGCCTACATGACAGAAAGCTTAATATATAACAGGTCACATGATTATATCTCTGTTACACTCTCATACACAGCGATCAGAGTCTTGACTTGATTCACTTAGGCTGTTTTATTTGTTAAGCATCACAAGGATAATTAGTTGTGTAGTATTATTTTTAAACTATTAATAGTATTTATTAATATTTTATTTACACACACACAC